TTTAATTAAATACAAAATATAATTATTAAATACCTTGTGCAACTTTTGTTACCACTGAATACGAATAATGTATTATGTTGACGTTATCGTGTTCATTTTTAATACAATACAGTTTGCTTTAAAACAAAAATAGAAAAATAAAAACAAAACAAAACAAAACGAAAACACACACCAAAAACACGTGTTTATGATGTAAACAATAAAGTGGACTTCTGCCTTATTAAGGGAGATCATAATCAGGTTTTTAACTTTGAATATTCTGTAATCGGTAAAGTGGTCTTACGCTGAATTCGGAGGGCATGAATTCGAGACACGATTGCGTATTGTACTAATAGATAATCCTTTAGAATTGTTTACTGTGTATGAAATGTTTCAAGGTCCACCTCGGACTCCTGTCATTTATTTCCGTAGAGAAGTTGATACTGTGAGAAACACTGGTTTCGTTAAATTCCCTCAGCTATAATTGAAATACTGTTGAAAGCGGCGTTAAACCCAATATTAAAAAATAAGAAGATATAAAACATAAAATGCATAGTTCATTATTTTCATAGGCTCTACATAGCACTGTATTATGTGTAGACGAAAACGAGCTTCTCCGAAAACCATATTCACACAAATTGAGCATCCTACATGATCGTCTTCAATACAAGGGAATCTGTATTAATTTTAATATGCAAAATTATCCGCTTATGAACATACAAAATAATCAACGGATCTTTCGCCTCGAATCGAGAAATGATCGCGGCTTCAGGTCGCCTCAAAGATGCGCTAGTAAACGCATACCGCGAGTCAGCGAGTTTTAAATAAATAAGAATATCTGTAATTAAGTGAAATGCGTGAGAAATTCAAGCCATAGCATGAGAATGTGATTCCTCCTTTAAATCTGAGTCTCACGCTTAGTGCAGGGACATTATTTACTAGTATTTAGCTGCGAGAGAAAATAGAATACTGATGGCTGTTAATAAATGAGCCGTGTCACGACAAAACCAACATAATGGGTTTGCGACCAGCATGGATCCAGACCAGCCTGCGCATCCGCGCCGTCTGATCAGGATCCATACTGTTCGCTTTTAAACATTTTAACAAGTAGAGAACAGAATGGATCCTGATCAGACTGCGCGGATGCGCAGGCTGGTCTCGATCCATGCTGGTCGCAAACGCACTATGTTGGTTTTGTCGTGACGCGGCTCAAATAAATTTTTATACGAGTAGAAAAGTTTTAAAATAAATGTCTGCTAGATTTATATAATTAAGACTACCAGTGAATCATGACTTACGTACAAATCGTTGTTACTTAATTCGAGTTGATCTTACATTTTTAAAACGTAAATTTGATTCATTTCCTATACTAACTGATATATACAATTCGAAATTGTTACATACGTATGATAACATGGAAGTTTATGTAGTACAGAGATACACATAACACGATGACACCGCGACTGCACCTGCCTTTTCATTCTTTTTTTTTTGACATTCTTTGCAAAATTTATGTTTGTATTATTTCCACTTAGGTGGCCTTTTAATTATATCTTTCAATATTCTTAATTGTCTTTCAGTCCTCGAGGTATTTATAACCATTCGTTGTAGTTTTTTAGAGATTGATACAAACTTTTGCAGACAGTCATACCCTGATTTGTTGTACATGTATATAATTGAAGTTGTTCATCGAAATACAGGCACCTGACATGACTTTTAAAAGAACATTTTACGGAACATGTCTAAATACAATTGTTGTTGATGGTTTTCACACATTTTAATTCCAGTCAGTATACTATTCATCGGAAAAGTCGTGACAATTTCCTTGAGAAAAATATTTTACGTCACCAAAATCATTACGTTTTACTCATCCTTTATCTTATATTAAAATAGTAATAGCAAAATATCTTACGCGTTGACCCTATATTTTTATTGCATAAATATTTTCCTTCATGACTTCACTACATGTTAAAAAAATTATAGCAAAATTCACCGTGTTGATTTTTTGTTATTTTACAATCTTTATTGCGATATCGCGCGATATTTGTATCATAAATGAACGTCAGAACGTGGTTTAAATAACGTAGAATCGCAGAGTATTAAGCAAATGTTAAAGAAAGACATTGTTTCAAAGACATACATTTACTGAACATTATAAAATTAAAACGAAGGAAATCGGATGAAAATTAATAAGAACAGACCGGTTTATTGATAAAAAGACGCAATTTCGCCACCTCCGATAGAGGGCGCTTTGACGTCATAGTAACGCTGTTTATTTGTAAAATAATGCTGCAGAAGTAAAGCTTACATATCTACATGTCTGTATACCAAAAATCATCAAGATCTGAGATATTGTCAAATTTCGGTCGGAAAGTAGCGAGCTACCTTAAGGCCACTGGTTGGTTACATACATAGACACTATACTACAGCGTTCAAGACTACTAGTTGATAACATACGTAAACACTATTCTATAGCGTTAAATACCAGTTGTTGGTTACATACATAAACACTATACTGTAAAGTTTAAGGCCATAAGTTGGTTACATACAAAGACACTATACTACAGCGTTCAAGGCCACAAGTTGCTTACATACATAAACGCTGTACTATAACGTTTAAGGCCACTAGTTGGTTACATACATAGACACTATACTATAACGTTGAAGGCAACTAGTTGATTACATACATAGACACTATACTATAACGTTTAAGGCCACTAGTTGGTTACATACATAGACACCGTACTATAACGTTTAAGGCCAATAGTCGGTTACATACATAGACACTGTACTATAACGTTTAAGGCCACTAGTTGGTTACATACATAAACACTGTACTATAACGTTTAAGGCCACTAGTTGGTAACATACATAGACACCGTACTATAACGTTTAAGGCCACTAGTTGGCTACTTACATAAACACTGTACTATAACGTTTAAGGCCACTAGTTGGTTACATACATAGACACCGTACTATAACGTTTAAGGCCACTAGTTGGTAACATACATATACACCGTACTATAACGTTTAAGGCCACTTGTCGGTTACATACATAAACACTGTACTATAACGTTTAAGGCCACAAGTTGGTTACATACATAGACACCGTACTATAACGTTTAAGGCCACTAGTTGGTAACATACATAGACACTATACTATAACGTTTAAGGCCACTAGTTGGCTACTTACATAAACACTGTACTATAACGTTTAAGGCCACTAGTTGGTTACATACATAGACACTATAATGTAACGTTTAAGACCACGAGTAACACTGTTCTATAGCGTTGAAGGCCACTTGTTGGTTACATACATTAACACTGTTCTTAAGCGTTCGAGGCCACTAGTTTGGTGTTAAACATAGACACTATACTTTAACGTTCAGGGCCACTACTTGGTAACATACATAAATAGTATTCTTTAACAGTAAAGGCCAGTAGTTGGTTACATACAAAAATACTATACTTTTACATTTAAGGCTCATACATATACACTCTTGTTTAACATTTAAGGCTACAAGTCGTTTATATAAAACTATACCAAACCCTTCAATATACCAATTAACATTAATCACTATTGTGCACATTTATACAATACTTTCAAATGCCACTATTAGATCATGCACTTTAATACTGTTTTGCTTAATTTATCGTGAACAAAACAGTTAATTATAAAATACAACCCAAACTTTGGTTTAAACACGGCTTTGTTGTTTTTGTTGTATTTTATTCCCATCAATTTAATAGTGTTTTATCTGTACTTTTCGAAGAATAATCGCCGTTTCCAGACTTGCCGTTTAGGTAACACAATGCTTTGATCTGAGTTTAATTTATACTTTTACTGACTGATAGCCAGATAAATGCTGGTTAAGGTTCTATCCAACTACCACTAAAATACTTACTTGAAATTAAATACCACCATATCTTCAGTGTCGTTATTGTAAGTCTACTAAAAAACCCATAAGATTTATTCCAACATGAAATTCTTATGGAAAATCATGGTTAAGATTTTCATTTTAAATTGCCTATACATATTCTTTGAAACTTTGCAAACATGTCAGTGTTATTACGAACTGCGGGTAATTAAATCATTTTTACTGCATGACATCAATTAGTTAACTAAGAAAGTGTCTGGTTATGGTATATCGTGTTAGAGTTAACCTACAAAGTCATTAAAGGTAATCACACTTATATTATCTCACTGACCTTCTTGCATTTACTTTTTTCAGAGTTACTTCCCTTTATCTGAACTTTCTGTTTTCACAATGGTCGAGTGTGTAGCTTCTGTACCATGTCTTGTTAAATTCATGTGGCAGTCTTGGGGAACATGACATTAGATTGAAATCCATCTGCATTACAAATGCATAGATCATGTCATTTAGAATGTATGATTTACAGTATTTATTCACACATCAAAGCATCATTGAATTATTTAAAGAAACCAGTTCCTGATAAATGTGATGATTATTCTAAAACAATTTAGACCAATTAAATATGTCTTATTGTGTTTTGTACTTCAGTCTTAATTTATATGTCACATACGCCAGACACGGCAATTATCATATGTACAAAATAGACTATTTCAATATTGAATTACATTTTAGGCGCAGTGAAGAAAAGTACAACGTTTGAGTGCGTTATTACACAAAATATTATTCAAGTGTCACAATTGTTTTCTAGGAATGTAATAATAAGTTAATCCCTTGCATAATGATGCAATTTGTCAAAAATGGATAATTTCTTGTAAATTTGCTTGTGACTCCACATTTTCCGAGTAGGTGGGATATATGCACTTACTTCTTTATAATTATATTTGATATCAAGAATCATGGTCTAAATAATACTCTTTCCCACTGCAGTTTAATATCACTTATTTAAAGATGTTACGTTTGTAAAGTTCATTACACTTAATACAGGAAATTACTAAAATTCTTTGCTACTGAACTTTCCGCTTTTCCCGTCACGAAATCACTTGTATAAAATAAATAAAGAAAACTTTGTGGTAGCGTTACAACAATCAGATAAAGCTAGAAGTGTTACGAACAAATCCGTGATATGTCTGAGCTATTTGCGATGAATTTCTGTCTTAACATTTACTGATTCTGCTGGAAGTATTCTGACAGGTTCCGCGCGCTGCAGAAGTCATTCTCACCTCCATTTTTACCTGGATACCTGTTCTACCTGGAATCTTATTATCAGCAACATTTGGATTACTCTGAACTTACCGTTTATATTTTACCTAAGTGGAATCGTCCATTCAGAAGCACGAGCCAAGATCTCTATGGGAATGCAGACGGCATGTTCATTGCTTGTTGCTATAGTTACTATCCGGCCTAAAATAAGATTTGGCAGATAGTACTTCATTTATCATCGTGTGGAAAGTTTGGGAGTTTACCTATATAGAACATACCTTGTTTCTTTTTGTTTTAAGTCTCCGGTCCCGTTTGAAGGGTATCAGGTGACCATGGAGACGATATGGCTACAGCGACCCAGTGGGGATATACCCTGGGGATTTCGGTTACAAGGGGGCCGGGAATTCGCCGAACCACTTTCTGTTCAAAGGGTATGTACCGTTTCTTCTTAATTGCTATGCGATATTGTTTTTCTATTACGGAGTATGTAAAAGTTTATACGAGTATCATATACATATAACAATACTTTACATTCAATTATTAAATTGTTAAAATTGGCATGTAAGAAAGAAAGTCATGGTGATTTATAGTCAAACTTTATCTATGGTCATGAATCCTTTTATAATAAAAGCAAAATTTAAAAAAAAAACGGGCAAGTAGTTAACGTGAGCAATAAACTACTCTAAAGAAGTTGAAATAATTCAGAAGTGATAAAAATAAAGTTTTTGTCTCGGATCATGTAATTAGAAGTAATTAATCGTTCTTATTCTCTCATTCTAGAGATGTCTATGACGTCATTACATATACCACCTACACATATATTCTCCCATTAAACTGCCTATCATAATAAAAGTTTTTCTCATTTAATTATCAATAGGTTTTTAGTTCTTGGTAGACATAAATATGTTAAGAATTTCAAGATCTTAAATATTTTCAAGAGCAACTCTGTATATAAACATGTATTAAAAGTTTTACTTTTGTTTGATGCCTTTAGTTTTCTTTCCTTAATTATGCATTACGTAATCAATGAATATATGTGTAACATGTGGAAAATGGATGCTAATCTGTACAAATAATAACCAATTAAAGTAAAAAAGTTAGATCACAATGGGTTTTCGCTATATGTCACTGTATATGTACATGTTTCTAACCTGGGTATGTTTAACGTCAGAAAATGATTTAACAATTCTCAAATGTCAGACTGGTTAAGGAGCAATGCTTTTAAAGGGTGGTAAAATACAAACAAGCAGGGTGGTAAAAAAAAACGAACAAACCAAACGATTCTTAACGTCGTTTTTAAATTGACGTCAAAAGACGCTTTCGTTGACGTTATAAATACAAAATCTGATTATCCATCGGGGTGTTGAAGATAAGTATAAATAGGTTAGCTGATTTCATAGCCTTTTTATTAGGTCAAGAGCTTAAAATTTAAAAACCTAAGTAAAAAAGTAAATAGGTCAATTCAATAAAAGAATAAATGACGTTAATGGTTGTTTTCTCATGCTGGATAAATTAATGGAGAAGAAAAAATGTACATAATTTCTTTTGTTATGCAAATTATTCTGTCATGATTTGATGACGTAATTAAGAAGAGAACTTAACGAAAAGCGACAAAAATCAGTAAAATGATTTTAAAGAATTTGTCTGACTTTCAGCTAAGATCAAATTATACTATATACTATTAGAAATATTGCACCTGGTGTTTTGACCTGATAAATCTCATATGTAAAACAAACAAAATTAATACTGTTGATATTGACTCACAACTTCCATTGGAACTGTGATAATTTTGTATTTTGATTTCCACATGCTGCTTTGATAAAGTAATAAATACTTACTGATAAGAGAAACAAAAACTAATTCTAAGTATTGAACACATATTTCAAATTTGAATATGCTAGTTTTCCATGCAATTTGTAGATTTTTTGTCTCATTTAGAAACTATGAAAATTGTTTATAGAATGTAGAGGTTAGAAATAAGTGGGCGTTAAAACTTATAAACACCAGCAAATACTCTTGATTATTGTTATAACATTTTCGCTAAAGGTACTTTTCCTCTAGGAATTATGTAGACAGTATAAGCGGTGCGAATCGAACATCTTGGAATATAATTACCGAAAATAATAAAACGTATTATCTGTATGTAAATAACAGAATATACCTGTACATGATGATATCCGAGTGTTTCCGTATACGTTATATATTAAGATGAAATGATAGCAGCCGACGATATCTATCTATTACACCATATGTTGTCATGATAACTTATGATTTTTTGTACATTTTACATAACGCTAGATTCTTCTGTAAAGTGTTAGATTCGAAAGAATATTATCGTATGTATCAGTTAATATGTACATGTTCAGTTTATATGTACATGTAATAAAGCGTTGATAAGGTGACTCATCGCATAATATTATATTGAAAGTTGTTCAGAGATTAATGATTTATTAGCTCATACTAGTTGGCCACTTATTTTTTCTCATAGTTTTTGAAGCTCATTCTGTTTGGCCACTTACTTTTCTCATAGATTTATAAGCTCATTCTGTTTGACCACTTACTTTTCTCATAGATTTATAAGCTAATTTTGTTTGACCACTTATTTTTTACATAGATTTATAAGCTCATTCTTTTGGCCACTTACTTTTCTCATAGATTTATAAGCTCATACTATTTCTCCGCGTTCTTTTCTCAGTTCATTTTATTTGGCACTTTCTTTTCTCAATGATTTCTAAGTTTATTCTATACAGCCACTTACATTTCTCATAGTTTCTAAGGCTCATTCTACTTGTCTCATGTGATGTTGATAACAAAAAATAGCAAAAAATTTAAGCATTGTCTGAAAGTAAAGAAAGCTGTTCAAATTACATACTTATCAATTATTACTTCGATTTTAAAAGTTGAAAATTTCTTATAAAGTGACGGAGGCAAAAACATTGTAACGAGAGGTATTTTTATTCAGTATTATAATATTATTTCTAATCATATGGGTACATTCTCACGAACCTAAAGGCATGTGTGCTTTTATGCCGATGTTGTTGTTGTTTGTACTGCTTCTCGTCTGCCACTTGCAGACGACAAAGTGCGGTTAAACTAGGAAACAGTTTTATATTATTAGTTTATCAGACGATCGGTGGGTTTTCAAGATGAGCGTTACCTGCATCTGCATTTACATGATAAGCCTTGTGATACAACGCGAAATATACGTGCACTAAAAATGACTCATATCGTAGGATTTTGTAAAAGATGTGAAATTTATCTGATTGAGGTATACAGTATTACTTCTAAAAGAAGATCACAGTAAGAAAGATTATATTTTTGCATAACTCCACTTATCTTTCGTACATAGTGAATTACAGCGGTGTGTTTTGAAACTACACGGAATATAAAACATATGTGTAATGGCCTGACCATAATCAACAAAAATATGTAGATAATTATTTACCAACGGAAGACGGACAAAACCCCACCAGTTAAAACCCCACCACTCAAAATTTTATAGAGTGGACAAAACCCCACCACTAAATTTTATAGAGTGGACAAAACCCCACCACTAAATTTTACAGAGTGGACAAAACCCCACCACTTACCAATTATTGGGCAAGATTTGATGAATTAAAATATATATAATATACAGTACACATTTTCACATTTTATTTTTTAATTTCAATATAACATTTGTGTAATATAAGAGATCATACAAATAATTTACAAACTGTTAAATCAACATCAAAGAGTAGTCATTTATTTGAGACTGTGCCACATTTATGACCTTGAATTATCCATTATTTTTAGTTTCTTCAAATTCATTTCTTCAATTAATTTATATAAAAAATAAACTACTTACTATTAATCAAGAATGTAGCACATTTTCATCAATTAATGATTAAAAAATAGCACATTTTTATAGCACATTTCTAGTTTATTCAGTTCAGTCAATTTTCCTTCATTGTACTTCATTGTACTTAGTTTAAGTGGATACTGTGGCTGATAGCCTGAAGAAACTCGGGTACAGTCTTCTCCTTATTGATGAGTTGTTCACACATTCTTTTGAGTTCCTACTGATGCACAATTGTTTGTTTTTTAACATGTTTACAAGAAAGTTTTGTCCACTCTATAAAACTGAAGTGGTGGGGTTTTGTCCACTCTGTAAAATTAAGTGGTGGGGTTTTGTCCACTCTATAAAATTTAGTGGTGGGGTTTTGTCCACTCTATAAAATTTTGAGTGGTGGGGTTTTAACTGGTGGGGTTTTGTCCTACATTCATTTACCAACATTAGTATTATTGGTCTACAGTTCATTTAAGAATAAAAATATACAAAATGACTATTCTTCAGCAATGTTATAATATACAATACTTGTCAGTCAAATGCCATTTTTTTCCAGACGGTTTTAAACACAGACGTTGTAGTGGTTCTCACGTTATCAATTGCCACTTACAGCCGAATTTTTGAGATAACAGCCATATCAATTCCCTATTTTCTATAAATACACTAAATTATTACAAGGAGGCATTAAAGTATGCATCATATAAACCGTTAGGCGTAATGAGGTGGAAAAACATCATCGAAGAAGTCTGGCCGTCTGTTTTCTTTCATAATTTAATGATCCCCTAAGGCCAGAAACCAGAAACCCTGCTAGAGTTCTGTGTATTTGTTAAGGTGTCATTTGTTGGTTAGGTTCATTCATTGACGCGTCAAAAGAATTGAAGATGACATGTCTAAAGATATTTGTATGTGTACATGCAGTGGCCATTTAACTAAACTTTATTTTAAATAGCGCAAAGTCAAGCACTGAAAAGGACTATCTAGATTCTTACTCGTTTAGTGTTTTATTCTCATAAATAAATATAAGAATGGTAATGAATCTTAAACTCATACGTTTGAAGTTATATTATCTTCAGATAGATAAAACTGCTACCGTAAAACTACACGCATTTCAGCATACGAGACACTTGTATCACCTTGTGTATATTAATTATCGAGCATATATTAATGTTCTAATTATATTGTATATGTATCCATCCGCCGAAATTTGTTTCGTCTGGTGACCTTAGTGACCGAGTCGTTAGTTTATACCACAAGCCAAAACACATCATGTTTGTTTATATAATTAGTAGGTAATCGCACACAGCACGTGCTAATTTCTCGTCTGATACTAAATCATAACCATCATGTACCATAATAAAAATAAGCATAACCATTTACCTATTGAGGGGTTTCCAAACTGTACTCAGTAGAACTTCATCAAACTAGTGTCTAAGAAAGAAAGACGACGTTATATGTCCTAAATGATTGGAAAACGCACAATAACTATTTTATATTACCGCGAAAAGGTTTATAAAAACTTTAAAGTAATAATATAGATGCAGTTCAAGACATGAATAAAATAATCAAGCAATGAAGTTTGCCAACGTCCATGTTTTCTAGGGT